TGCATTAACCTTGCTAAAATTTGGTCACTGGAAAACAGGAAGAGGAATGAGGTCAGGGTGATAGCAGTTTGCCTTTTTGCAGAATGTTTGTATAGAGGACTCTTACATATTCAACTTGTCCCAGTTCAACAAAACAAACCTGCAGAAATTTGCTGTCTGTACTGGGAGTAGGGAAGATCTCAGTGTGGATCCCCGGGATTTTCTGTGGGACGAGAAAGATAACCTGCATGAAAACAGCTGCTACGATAGCAATGTTAAAGCGAGGGCACACAGTGACAAGGAGGTTCCTCATGACCTCTTGGCAGCAGTAAAGTATAAGTTGCTGCTTCTCTTTTGCAGGCGCATCCAAGTGCAGCTTGGGAAGCACAACCTGGCACTCACAGAATCAACACAGCAGTTCATTAATTCAGCTAAAATCATCCGCCACTCTGGCTACAGCCCTTCCACCCTGGACAATGACATTATGCTCATCAAGCTTGCCGAACCAGCCCAGCTCAACCGAGCTGTCCAAACAGTTCCTCTGCCTACCAGCTGTGTGGCTGCAGGCACCACATGCCTCATCTCTGGCTGGGGCAACACACTCAGCAATGGCAGTGAGTACTCTGTGGGAATGTACAGCATCGTGAGTGCCCTGGAGATACTCCAAGACCTCACACTTAACTCCAAACGGCGTAGGGTAAAGCACAGAGAAGTGCTGTGGGACAGGCCTTTTTAAGTGATCAGTCTGTGTAGGACAGCAACCACTTAACTGCTTTAAAGGCAAGTCTTTATAAGGTCCTTCCTCTTCTTCTGTGTTGTGAACATGGAATTGCTTAAATCATCCATGTGCCGTTCACCAGCACGTTCACACTGCCATAAATTTTGTGGCCTGGTGCTCTCAGTTGTGCAGTGCCAAGCACTAGGAGTTTAACTAATGTCAACGGGGTCATCAGTTCTCTGAGAACGAGACCAAAGTCTGTGGTTTGGATCTAAAATTACTGCGGGAGAGCTCCATTCTCTTATGCCAATGGTCAGAGGTGTGGATGGTGACTGGTGTCTAATCCACTGACGACAACTAAACCTGCAGAAGAGGGAAGGATGGTTCTCCTGAGGCCCAGGTTTCCTCCAACATATCTGCTACAAGAGTAGCTCTTAGCTCCGCTCTCGCCATTGGTGATTTTCTAGGTATCAGAAAATTAACGTGGCTGCAGTGTAGAACAGTGGACCCATGGGTAGAATCTGTTCCATCTAAACAAAAGGAACGCACTCTGTGGTTACTGTCCAGAGGAAAAATGGCGACTGCTAAAACAGGATGTTCAGTGGTTACTTTTCTGCTAAGAAAGATCATCTCTGAGCTCTGAAATGAACTCAGAGATATCACCAACCATCTCTCTCTGTTTTCTTGTAGATAATTATCCAGACACTTTGCAGTGCCTGAATGCTCCTGTGCTCTCCTCAAGCGAGTGCTCTGCAGCCTACCCCGGACAAATTACCAAGAACATGATGTGTGTTGGATTCCTGGAGGGAGGGAAAGACTCCTGCCAGGTAAAACATTTGCCTCTACTTCCTCATAGATTTTTTTCCTGCCTTTTGCTAGTAGAAGAGGCCATCATGTCTGAGCATCTGCTATACTCGCTGCACTGGCACGTCTGAACGTGCGTTTTGGAAAAACAGTGGAGGCTTAGGGTGAAAGTTGCTTATTGAGTGAGGTTAGGGGTTTTTTCCCACTCAGTCATTGTCCCTTTTTTGGGACATTGAATACACAAATGTCAGTTTTGGACTCACCAAAAATGAAATAGCTAGTAAGCTGAGATCCAGGAATTCTGGAAAATGACCACATCTGACAATTGCTCTGCATTTTGCATGTGGCTATCTCCATGGAAATATTTGGCAGGGTAATGTTCAAGACTCACATATCCTAAGTGTCTGCCAAGGCCTGTAACTGTCAAAACCAGGCAGCTTACTCAGCCTTAGCTGTGGTGCCCTGGGAACTAAAGTAAGGTGCAGTCACATCAGGTGTAGCGTGGTAATCAGTAATGGCCTTTGTAGAACTTCTGAACAGAAAAAGTCCAGTGAAGCTCCATCAAATGTCAGTGATTTCTGGGATCTCTGGGTCATCACTTATGCTGATACCATTTGCTGAATATCTGTATCCTTTCTGTGCACAGGGGGATTCTGGCGGTCCAGTGGTCTGCAATGGAGCGCTCCAGGGCATTGTTTCCTGGGGCATTGGATGTGCACAGAGAGGCTATCCTGGGGTTTACACTAGGGTTTGCAATTACGTCTCATGGATCCAAGCAACCATGGCTGCCAACTGAAACCCTCCAGTTCTATGTGACCTGTCTTTTCTCCTCATTGTTTTCTTCTGTTTTGGGACTGGACATACAAAGATTATCATAAAATAAAGCATTTCAGACACACCTTCTTTGTGCAGTGTTTCTCTGGGTACTTCTGTAGGTTATGATATGAAAGGTAGAGGCAGGGAAAGTCACTCTGGGGAATTATTTAGTGTTTGTAGTGCCTCCCAACTAGCAGGATCTTGGAACATTTTGCAGACTCATCTTCAGAAGTCTTTCAGTCAGTTCCCTTTCTGGAGCAGAACAT